CACATAATGATTTTTATGCTTCCCACATAATCCAGCTCCATTTCCATTGTGGCTGCTGAACACGTCAATGGTTCGTGTGCTGCGTGTGGACATTTTGTTTACATTGAGTTATTATTGACGTTATTCCATCCATTATGGTCCATGATTCAAATATGCTGTATGCAAACTTTTAAAAAATGCTAATTTGTCCTGTGTTCTCCAAGCATGCTGTGAACCCTTACTTTTTGCATACAACCCAGATGAATAAGATGCATTCACAATAGACAATTATGTCATAATAAAAATTAGATCTGTCTAGGAAATCTAATTTAGAATTAATATATGCTGCTGTTCAAAAGTTTGGGTTCAGTAATATTATTTTAATGTTTTTGAAAGAAGTCTACATTTATTTGATTATAAATTCAGAGATAGAACAGTAATATTCTGAAATACTATAATTTAATCTAGATGAGTAAAGTTTGATCTCAAACTTTAAAGTTGGCTTGAAAAAGCCAGGCCAGAAAGGTTGAAAACATTGCAATAGCTTTAAGTAGTTCTACAGTTTAAAGTTTTAATGTTTTGAAGGCAATATAAGATAGATAGATAGATAGATAGACAAACCGACAGATTAAAATGAATTTACACAGCTATACATTTTTGAGTCAACCTTGTAAGTTGAAATGTCTTTGTATATATTTTTTTCTTAATGCACTACAGAGTTTGGAAATGTTTTGGCTGCTTAACCTTGTAAGTTGAAATGTCTTTGTATGTATTTTTTTCTTAATGCACTACAGTATGCTGATGTCTAGCCTGTTGCTAGCATGTTTCTAGCAAGATTAGCATGTTACTAGCATGTTGTTAGCATTTTTCTATCATGTTTAGCATGTTGTTAGCATTATTAGCAAGTTACAAGCATGTTGTTAACATGATAATGCAGAGCACTAATTCCTAGTATGGGTCACCATACTTGGCCACATGTCACTTCACTATCACTATTCACTATTGACATATCACTTACTGATATATAATTATAACTAGATGAGTAAAGTTTGATGTCAAACTTTAAAGTTGGCTTGAAAAAGCCAGACCAGAAAGGTTGAAAACATTTTTGAGTTTGGAAATGTTTTGGCTGCTTAACCTAGGTAAGTTGAAATGTCTTTGTATGTATTTTTTTCTTAATGCACTACAGTATGCTGATGTCTAGCCTGTTGCTAGCATGTTTCTAGCAAGATTAGCATGTTACTAGCATGGTTAACAAGTTACTATCATGATTCTAGCATTATTAGCATGTTACTAGCATGATTAACAAGTTACTAGAATGGTTAACAAGTTAATAGCATGATTCTAGCATTATTAGCATGTTACTAACATGTTGCTAGCATGTTTCTAACATGATTGGCAGGTTTATAACATGATTAGCATGATTCTAGCATGATTAGTGTGTTATTAACATGTTGTTAGCATGATTAGCAAGTTACTAGCATGTTGCTATCATGTTTCTATCATGTTTAACATGTTAACATGATTAGCAAGTTACAAGCATGTTGTTAACATGATTAGCAAGTTACTAGCATGATGCTAGCATGTTTCTAGCATGTTGTAACAAGTTGCTAGCATTTTGTTAGCATTATTAGCAAGTTACTAGCACATTTCTAGCATGATTATCATGTTACTAGCATGATGCTAGCACATTTCCAGCATGATTAGCATGTTTATAGCATGATTAGCATGTTACTAGCACGTTTCTAGCATGATTAACATGTTACTATCATGTTGTTAGCATAATTAGCAAGTTACTAGCATTTTGCTAGCATGTTTCTAGCATGATTAACATGGTACTAGCATGTTGTTAACATTATTAGCATGTTGATAGCACATTTCTAGCATGATTAGCAAGTTAATAGCATGTTGTTAACATGATTAGCAAGTTACTAGCATTTTGTTAGCATGTTTCTAGCATGATTAGCAAGTTACTAGCATGTTGTTAGTATGTTTCAATGCTAATCCAGCTAAAACCAGTTGATTCAGTAAAAAAAACCAGCTAAGACCAGCCTGACCTGCTAAAAAAGTGTCCAAAACCACTTTAAAACCAGCTTGGGAGACCAGCCAAAGCATTCAGTCAGCTTAGGCTGGTTTTAGCTGTTTTTTTTCAGTAGGGAGTTGTTAAGATCAGGTTTCCCCGGTAACGCTGTACACAAAGCAGCGCTCAGCTCACAAACGCTGCTTTATCAGGCATTACAGGCAAGATGAAATGAAAATGACAT